TTTCCCTACCTGTCCTTTCTGAACATGCCATTCTTTCTTATATTGATATTCTAGCTGTGTTTGTTATCCTTTGCTTCTTGGAATAGTGTATAAATACCTAAGTTATTGAGCAGGTTAACTCTGGTCTCCCATGTGTCCCTTCTGTAATCTTGCAAATAAACATTCTTCCCTTTTGATTTCGAGACAGTTGTCCAAATTGTCAGGGATTATAAATGAGTTTTTGCCATTGGCTACCACGGAATCTGGGAAGCTGTCAGTGCAGGTTCTGCATGGAACTGATAGGAAAGCTAATAAAAAAATCTGTATTATCAATACAGAAATAGGAATTTACATGCCCCTAGCAGGTAATGTTATCCCTGGAATTGCAAATGCTACCTCATTTTAGGTGCTAGCATTGCAACTGTATGGTGTTATCTTTTGTAATCCAAAAGGAAGTATACAGTCATTTTACATTATAAAATGCAAGTCAATGGAATATGACTGAGCTGACATGACAAGACATCACAGCATTGAAGTACAGTCCTGAAGATGGAGAAAGGCACCTCATTCTTTCAAAAGAATGTGCTTTTCAAGAAAATTATTGTCGCAAACATGTTCCACAGAAGCCCATAATAGGACCTGGATCAAATTGCTTTAAAACTGTGTCTTCACAATTTAGAAAATATTAATTATAAGAAATTGCAGTCTTGGGACACAGGTGAGAAGAAATGCGGATTTTATTTGTAGCTCCACTGTACCTACATGGATAAAACCCACAAGATTTTAAGATTAAGCAGAATGTTTAAAAACAGTGCTTTGATACCTTTTTACGAAAGGTATTCTCATCTTTCAAAAGTAAAGCTGACTGATACACTGTCAACCTAAGATTAAATTTAAATTTTAACCAAGGGTGTTATCAATCTGTATGCAATTCCAGATCTAATAATGTTGAAACATACTAGTGAGCACCCTGGCAAATTTCTTTGTCAAATAGTAAAAACAATAACTACATTTAATTTTACGAAGGCCTAACAATAAATTGACATTCCCCTTTGATACATTAATGTGTATTTACAAATATGCTGGCCTTTCTGATCCTTTGTGTTGTGTCAGGCTATTAAGTCTAAAGCAAACCTCGTGCTTTTGTGGAAGGACACTGAAGAGACAACACATCAATTCCTAATCTAATTAACCTATTCTGTTTGGGGGCAGCCTTTGGTCTAATTGCAAGAAGCAGCTCACTTCATATCTTCTGAAGGCTAGTGAGACATGAGTGTTTGCATGGAAAGTTTTTGGTGGTGGTGGGACTACAGCGGTGGCTTCTCTGAGAGGCTGCTAAAGAATATGTGAGAGAAATAACTCTGCAGATGCCAAGTCAGTGAAGGAGGGGGAGGAGGTGCCCCAGGTGCTGGAGCAGAGGTTCCCCTGCAGCCTGTAGTGAAGACCACAGTGAGGCAGGCTGATCCCCCTGCAGCCCATGGAGGGTCATAGTGGAGCAGATACCCAGCTGCAGCTCATGAAGGACCCCCCTCTGGAGCAGGTAGATACCCAAAGGAGGCTGTGACTGCATGGGAAGCCTATGCTGGAGCAGGCTTCTGGCAGGACATGTCGTCTCATGAAAAGAGGAGCCCACACTAGAGCAGGTTTGCTGGCAGGACTTGTGACCCTGTGGGGGACCCATGCTGGAGCAGTTTGTTCCTGCAGGACTGCACCCTATGGAAGGGACCCACACTGGAGCAGTCTGTGAAGAACTGCAGCCTGTGTGAAGGACTTGCATTGGAGAAGTTTGTGGAGGACTGTCTCAATAGAGAGGTACCCCACACTGGAGCAGGGGAAGGTTGCAAGGAGTCCTTACACTGAGGAGGAAGGAGCAGTGGAGACAACTTGTGATGAACTGACTGCAACTCAAGTTCCCTGTCCCTCAGCATTGCTCAGGAGGTAGAGAAACTGGGAGTAAAGTTGAGCCCTGGAAGAAGGGAGGGGCAAGGGGAAGTCTGATTTGATTGGTAATAAATTAAATTAATTTTTCCTACATAAGTCTGTTCTGCCTGTGACAGTAATTGGCGAGTGATCTGTCCTTGTCTCGACCCAGGAGCCTTTTGTTTTATTTTTCTCTGCCCTATCCAGTTAACAAGGGGGAATGATAACAACTTTGGTTGGCATGTGGCATCCAGCCAAGGTCAACCCACCACTTAAGTACTAAGCTTAAAGGCTATATGTATAAGCTGGGAGAGAAGTGGCTGAAGACAAGTACTGCAGAAAGGGCAAACTCAGTAGAGTCAGCCATGTGCCCTGGCAGCCAAGGGCCCACACCGCCTCCTGGGGCGCATCCAGCTCAGTATGATCAACCAGGCAGCTGAGGGGATTATCCCACGGTAGTCAGTGTTGGTGCAGACTTGCCTCAAGTACTGTGTGCTCTTTGGGCCCTGCAATTTAACAAGGATGTGAAGGTCCTTGAATGCATCCAGAGGATAGCTACAAAGCTGATGGAAGGGCTGGAAGGAATGTCCCATGAAGAGTATAGCTGAGGACTTTGGACTCGTCTAGCTGGGAGAGAAGGAGGCTGAGGGATGACCTCATTGCCATCTACAGCTTCCTGAGGAGAAGCAGTGGAGAAGGCGGTGCTGATCTCTTCTCCCTGGTATCCAGTGACAGG